GAAAACTGTAAAATTTTTTGCCCTCCATTTTTTCGCTAATGCTCTCAGAGAAAAGTAACAGTGCCAGATAGCATTTTCCTTTTTCCATTTAAAGTGCAAACTTCCCTTTTCAATTGCCTGTAGAAGGCAGGATTCCATTTAATTTTGGCCTATTTGTGTTTCAGTATCAGCACAGGTTTGAAGATGAGACTGTTAGTCATCTGTGCTCTCTTTACCAACTGGCTAGGGTAGAAGAGCATCACAGCTACACTGCAGATCCTGGTAATACAATGTTAGGGCTTTTGTTTTTCAGTGTAGTCTTATCTTCTTCAGCACCTCCTCCTCCCCCACCAACCCTGGCCTTTTTTCACTTTCAAGGTTAGAGGAAAATGATCATTTAATCAAGAACCAGAAAAATAATTAAATCTCTCTGGACAAAGAAAAGCTAAGAAGGCTATGATACTGTACCCACCTAGTAACCCAGAGCTTGTTTGGAATCATTTATATTCATTTCTGTAGCTTGCCAGCGATTTCAATCACTCTTCTGAAATGAGAGTGGGCCGATAAATTTGCAAATCCACACACAACTCAGAGAATACCCACTGCCAACATCAAATAGCAAAGATACTAATTTTTTAAGCCAAAAATCTGCACTAACACATGTAATTTCTTAATGTGCCTAAGTTAATTTCTATACCGATTCAATGAATGGAATTGATTGAACTTTCCAACTCCACTAATTATTAAAATCCATCTGCTTATTCTAATGCTAGTCACCAAGAGCTAGACTCCATCTTTCCAATAAAAATGAGCCCTCTGTATCGCTAGGTCCAAAACCTAAAATTCAAAACAGGCATATCATTTTCTTAATGCATACTTCCTACACAGGTTATCAGGGAATAAAAGGCTGTATAATGCCCCATTCTCTCCCTAAAATGTGGATATCTATATGAAATTTTAAAAGAATATTTTTAGAAGCTTAGCTCCTAACAGAGATATACAGTGACAGACCTGTCTCAAAAGTCTGTTTTAGGCCATGATTTTCCGATCTTATTGGCTAAAGAGCTTCAACTAGAAAAAAACTAAGGATGATAAA